TTTAGATTTTGGGTGCTTTTATGTACTTTGGTTTGCTAGATCCATATATTAATCTTTCCAAAAAAGCAAATAGATGAATATAATGAGTCTAAGTCTACCTTCTTACATGAGCTGATCCTAACAGCCTAATGGTTAATTTTGCAAATAATTTCACAGAAATATTACAGAAAAGCAAGTCAACTTTCCTATAATAAATCTCACTATATGCTTTTGGTTTTCTTAAGTATAGATATAAACGTGAAAAAATAGATTATAGGTCAATGTCTTTTCATCTCCTATAATAAATCTCAGACTATGCTTTTGGTTTTCTTAAGTATAGATATAAACGTGAAAAAATAGATTATAGGTCAATGTCTCTTTTCATCTAATCTCATTTTAGATGGATATTTTTGTATGTCTTGAGGTTTATAGAGTAGATACTAGATTGTATAGATGATTGTGCAAGTGATGTATGTGGACTGTGCGTTGGAAGGAGAGAGCATTCATGTGTAATTGCATGATATGCACTGCTCCTTTTTTCACATAAATTATGATGTTTTAAAAAATATACCTTTTTAATCATCTTGGACATTTAGATACTTATAATTGTCTAGTCTTAACTGAGAGAAATTCAGAAATCTAACATGGAATATTTGAAAGGAACATTCAGAGAAGAAACTGGAACACTGCAGAAGTGAATATGTTATGAAACAAACAACAGGTGTCACTGCAGTCAGTCAATAGTGTTTATAGTTTAACCTGATCCAATTAATTACCTTGGTTCCACACTCTTTTTTGTGTTGGTTTGGTTTTTTTTCTTTTTTTTAATATATAAGCAACAGGTTATTTTCAAGTAAGTATGATCAAGGGTTCATCTCGTATTACGTATATCTAACTAGCGATATGTGTTGAAGTGAAGATTAATATTGATAGCAGAACTATTCCCATCTTCTCAATCCATGCAAGCAAGTTTGGGTTGATTTAATGGGACCTTGTACATTCTTAGCCTTACACAGCCCCAGGGCCTTGCTGCTTAAGCTAGTGAAGATTTGAAGTGGTAAAAGCTCTGTCAATTTCTTTATCTTGGTATAAATTTAACTATAGAGGAAGCACTCTCCTTCAAAGTATTTCTGATGTAAAGTCTTTCTCGTGCTCTGATGAGCAGGTAATTCAGAAGATAATCCTGTCACCTCCAATATCTTTATGCCAGCAGGACCCCAATGTAAGAGGAATTTCCTGAGCAGCAACCGTAAAAATAACTTTCTGAGCTCTTCCAGTGACTTACTGTCTATCTTTACAGATAGGCATTAATAGCTCATCCCTGAAGATGATGCTTGGCTCAGCATTCACCGTGCATCTGTGATACTGTTGTCAGCGAACGTGTTTCAGTAACATAGACACATATACATCCGGTAACACATATATACAAGCCAGTTTTCAAAAGGAATAGCATAATTAATTAAATTCACGTATAAACATTTTTAGAGGGACTTGATTTCCTCAGTGCATAGGCAATACAATAGTTCAACATCCCTGAAAAACAGGTGACAATTTTTTTAGATTTAAAAGTTCATATTTGAAAATTCTATCCTGCCTGTGCCTGAGAATTTGAACGGTTCACCTGGTGTATAATTACATATTAGAGAACCCAACAAAGTACTCCTTTTCAAATCCATAATTAATTTTCTCATGAAACACAGATGTGTATTTTTAGCTCTTCAAACACCAAAGTATTCTGTATTATGTAATTTTCACATTAACTCTGGAGTATCAGTTAATAAAATAATGTTTTGATTTTGAGTCTGGGCTGAAAACTTTCTTTGTAAATTTAAATTGTACCCCCTTATCCTATTGGAACTCATAAACACTTTTCTCTAATTACCACCTTTGATGGTCTTTAGCAGTTCAGTGCTCCAGGTCTGTTCATCTCTGCAAATCAGTGAATATTCATAGAATGGTGTCACAATAAATTAATACTTTAAAATGTTGTTTAGAAGTAACATGCAGAAAATAAGTCATAGTGGCTTAGATAAATTGAAATAAATATGATCAGAGATCAACGATCCTCATACTGGGGAAAGCACAAATAGTTATAATTATCCTAGATAACTTTTCTTTGATGGTTTATGTTCTGATCTGTATGCTACTTCAGATGTGCAGGCTTTAGAAAATAGTTTACATATCTGTAAGAATATCCTTTTGATATTTTTTTACTAAGAGTAAGAACTACTGGGCAGTAATGAAAGTCTTCTTTTAAGAATGATAGCTCATTAAACCTGGGGGGTGTTGGTGACAAGGTGCCTTGGCGTCTAAGAAAGTGAATCTTTTGTGTCGGTTACCCAAACTGAGACTTTAAAATGCTTTTGTATCAACCAAGGACCACAGAACCAAGTTTGCAGGTGATAAGTGATGCGCTGAACTGGAAACCTGTGAAAATGTACGAATAAATAAATAAAATGCTTATCACGCATTGTTGCACAATGTCTTAACATTCAGTTAGGCGGTTACTGAAACACCTAAATCTTCTGCAATTAAACAAAGTAAACAATTGTCTAACTAAATAGTAAAAAAAAAAAATTGCAGAAGATTCAATGCCACCTGTTAACTTTATCTTTTCACTTAATGTCAGAGCAATGGTATGTGACTTAAGAGAGGTGTGGCTTTTCTTGTGTTCTTTATCTTCAGGTACCGTAGTGGTGTTCTTGATCCCGGTGATATTCTATTTCAAAAAGATTTGGTCAGACCCAGTTTTAGCCATTATTAAATTTTTAAGCTATGTTGACAGGAATCTTGCAAAATACCTATTTTGCTCACATTGCCGTACAAACAGTTGCAGCCACACAGATGCTCTTCTTGCAATGACTTGCCTTATGGAGGTGCTTCTCAGCAATAAGAGCGTGAGCCATAGAGGAATAAAAGCCAGTGTTTTACAAAACTGAATTTATAGTGTGAACTAAAAGTAATATACACAACATTGTGACACACTTATTCTCTTCCTGACTTGAAGAATGTATTACTTAAAGTTTCAGTTAGTAGGATTGTTATAAGACTTTCAACCCATGAAGATGCATAGTTTAGTATTGCCTTTATGGAGCTGAAAGCTAACTATTAATAGAGATCTCAACAGTCTCGCTAAAGTTGTAACTTCTAATGAATGGAGTGCATTTAATACCAAAGTTCTTTTTTTGATGACTGAAGGAGTTAAGAATTCTCTCTTCTTATATTCTTCTCCTCATAGGGGATAGTCCTGGCTTTGCTGTTTATCTCAAAGAGTCTTGGTGTTATTTTTCCACACACAGAGCCAGCTATCAGACCAGAAGAGTAGGAATTTTATTGTCCTTCTCTATATTTAAATGATTTGAGAAGATGGAAGCACTAGGAGGTTTGGCTTCTTGGGACACTATGTGCAGTCAAGGAAATGCTAGTATTACAAATAGCTGGAGCAGGGAAGTGTCATAGGTGTCCTACACTGTTTCTCAGGTACCAACTTTTGGCAAGTGTCAGAAGACAGGAGCATGAGCTATAGTGAACGTTGTTCCAGCACAGCTGCTCTAAGATCATGTTAACCTTGCTGCAACTACCCAGCTAAGAATTTACCTAGTGAGTTAACAGATATAATACCTGTGATATTTGCACAATCTGTTTTGCAAATTCTGTCCAACTAACTACTGCTGTTTTGAGTAGAGAATCAGTAAGAGAATTAGTAGAAATACATGAAAGAAGGGTTTCTTTCCTATCTTAGGATCCTGTCCTTTCCTCAGCTGAAATGAAGCAATAGGTCTATGCTTTTAAAATTATTAAGGGAAGTTATATTTTACATATTTGAGGCAGCTTTCAAAGAAAGGAACCATAATTGGCTCCTTTCCCAGGTTAGGATCTTTTCTTAAAAGAAAGTACGTTGTTTCATGAATACAGTCAGTAGCTATTCTTTTTTATCACATGGTCCAGTTTTTCTTCTCTCATGTAATGCTTGAAACTTAATCACTCATTTTAGGTGATTAACTCATATGATGTGGTGTTGCATTTGTTCTCTGCAATAGATCCGTTTCTCACAAATTTTACAGTAATATGGCTTCTTTGGTTTCAAAGAGTAGCTTCTGATTAACAGCCAGCACATATGGTTCATTGGTGGGAAATCTGAGACGGACTCTTGTATCCTACTTGATTAGCCTACTTACACAGTGCACAAAAAACTTTCTGTTTTCTGCTAACCTTCTCGTATAACACGCTCACAGACCTGAGATTTCCTGTTAGTATTTTTCTATTCACTGCCAGGTCACTGAATTCTGCAGAGAACTTTGCAGCCTTGCAAAGCACCAGTGCCATGACAGACTGAAGTGTTAAAGCAAAACTGTACAACAAATATGCTGTTCTTCAAAGCCATAAAATGGCATGGAAGGAAAAGAAACTGAATACAATTGGGTTTTCTTTCTTTCTTTTCATTTTCCGTGTTAAAACATTCTCTATCAAAATATTTTGCCAACTTCTGCACTGGGAGCTTGATGTCAAGGATTGCCCTGAAGTCACTCAGAAAATAACGGGTTTTTTCAGCAACAGCAGACCAGATAATAAAATGGTGGTAAAAGATGATAAAAGCCTCTCCTGCCTCAGCTCAATTAACTTTTACTGAAAATTGACTCTGCAAATATGTGGAAGACTAAAATTAGCTGTTGAGGTATATTTAGAGGACTTTGTGTTAATTTAACACCAGATGAGAATTGCAAGTAATATCTCTGAGACTGCAATGTCCCAAATCGTCATGATTTCACCACTGTAAGACTCATGTCTAGATGCTGAGTTCTCCTCTTATACTCAGGAAGTGCTTTTCAGTTAGACTGTATGAAGATAAATGATGAGAGAATTAGGCCCAGATGTTCCATTGGCTTTCACTACAGCTAATGATCTTGACTTGCTAGAGAGATGTTAATTTCTGGACTATAACATATACATGTTATATTCTGGACACCTCTACTAATAGGCTGCAATGGGGTTTTTTTGTGTGTGGTTGTACTAAATCACAGAAGGAAGACAGACTGATGCTGAGAGACCTAAAAGTGTGGGCAGAACAATTTGAAAGAGACTTAGCCCGAGCACAGGTGGCCGAAACAAGCTTACAGGAGAAATACCAGGTAAGCAGTAGGGAAAATTTTGTATGATAAGACATTATTGTCATCGTTATGTGTAACATATACTGCAGTATTTTATGCAATCTCTATATATGCAAGTCAATATACCGAAGTTTAAAGAAATAAGGACACAAACAGTCTTTCCTTTTATTGGTGGAGGAATTGTAATGTCAGCTTCAGCTTTGCTACGTAGAACAGTGCACAGATGGTTTGCCTAACACGGAGCTTTTTCTAGCAGTGTGAATAAGGACTGTCCTAGTTAGAAGTGAGCATGTGTCTGTACAGTCCTTCCAGATTCTGTGTGATATAGCTCAGATGGGAGGTATGACTGAACGCTGAATGAGGTGACAGGTGGAGAGGACAGGGCTTAGAGCTTCATTTTTAACTCCTCTCTCAAAGGTTAGTGTCTAAACCAGCAATATAAATTTTGGCCTAAATTTTCTCCTGAAACTCGGCTGTTCTCTAAAAGCAGCCACTGTCTGTCCCAAGTAACATTTAATCCAATTGCTAGTTTATCTGATTTCATATAGGGTTCAGGCATCTAATAACTGAAGGGAAATACAAAAGTCCTATCTATATTTCCCTGGAGGATTCTACAGTCTATTAAAACCTTTAATAAAATGCATTTCAGTGTAAATATACAAGTTTACTGCTACTCCTTTTTGGGAAGGATTAGGACTTCTGTCAGTGCAAAATTGTCATAGGTTGTAGCACTCCATAAATGTTGAAGAATTTCATTCTTTGACTCTGTACTACATTGGTTTGATTTTCTCTTTGTGCAGTCGTTTAAGCATTTCAGAGTACAATATGAGGTAAAAAGGAAACAGATTGAACTTGTAACCCAGTCATTAAGGAAAGATGGTAAATTATCACTTGATCAAGCTATGGTGAAGCAAGCATGGGACAGAGTTTCTTCCAGGGTAAGTTGAAAATTATTATGCTATATATTTTTTATTAAGTGAAGGATGAGAATTTAAAATCATTTAGACACCTGTTTGCTATTGGTTTTATTAGGCATTAGGAACCTAAAAATGGACCAAATTTCTAGCACTGTTAAATTATTTTGCATTTGTTTTGAGAACATTTACTGCACTATCATCTTTAATATTGTTCATAGGCAGAATACAAACTTCAAGAAAAGGACTATACTTTGAGGTTTCCCTTTATTTGAAAGTGTGTTAACAGTGCTTAGCCAAGTTCAAAGCATCATTGATAAAAAGAAAAGCATGACAATGTCCCTTTGAAATGCTGGTTACCGGAGAAATTCTAGTATAACATTTTTTAATATAACTAAAAAAAGCTTCTGTGTAATACTGAATACTTTATCAATAAATAAGGCTTTAATGCTATTTTTGACCTGGTTGCAATAGCAATAAATTAATATTAGTATTTATGATAGTAATTTTGTAATAATTGAATGAAAAATCGCAAGCGAGTTATACTGTTTGTCCAAAACAAGAAGTTATTAAATCATTATTACTCAGTGTATATATGGGGGGTTTTATGTCATATATTTAACAGAAGATCTGTTTAAAAATACTCTGGAGTTTTGACATAATTTTAATTATTTTTCACTCTCATAACTGGGATTGCCAATAAGACATGGTATTTTACTGCTATATTCTCAATGCCACAGTCCTTTGAGACTCATTTGCACTTTACACATAGAAAATACATTCAAAATAGAGATAGAAAGATTTTATGCAAGAGCATGAAATAAATGACATTGGGTGGAAGAAGGTCTCACATCCCTTGCTGTGCCTATTAACTGATGAAATTCCAGATCTTTAGCTTGTCAGTTGTTCCAGTTTATATGTGGTCAGTTCTGTAACTCAGTTACCATTCTGGAAGGGAAATACATGAATCAACAAATCGTTATAGAGATTTTGTTGCCTGTGAGAACGCTATAATTTCAGAACTAATGTGAAGTAATACACCTAGGTTTATGTCTCAAACATACTCTGTTATGTGGGGTTTTGGTCTTACAGTATAAAGTCTGATTTTTCTCAAGATACTTGTTTGTATAATTAAGCAAGGAAGGAAGTTCAATCCTCTTCCTTTTATTTCCTAGCTACTTGATTGGCACATACACCTTGATAAATCTCTTCCTGCACCTTTGGGTACCATCGGTGCTTGGCTTTATAGAGCAGAGGCTGCTCTGAGGGAAGAAGTAACGGCTCAGCAAGCTCATGAGGAAACAGCGAACATTATACACCGGAAGCTTGAACAACATAAGGTAGATCTACATGCATTCATTCTGTGCATTGCGTTTCATTGTTTCCAAAGCTGTAAATGATCTTGGTGGTGTCATCTTGATGGTAGCTAAAGCTAGGTGTCTTTTAGTGATAACTTCAACTGTGATATCTGTGTATCTTACAAGCAATATTCAAAATTGCTTTTGAATGTTCCTCCTGCTTCTATCTGAGAGATATCAGGTATTAATATTTTAATTGTTCCCCTGTTCTAGGATTTCTGTTAGGTAAAATTCCATAGGGAGCTCCTAAGTTGGGTGCATTGTTCAACCAATATGAAGTTAATAGGTGAAATAGGTGCAGGTGATATGCACTGGGGGAAAAAATAGAATGAAGTGAATTTTCATAGTCTTGTGATGACAAATAGCATGAGAAGTCCCCTCTGCTGTGGTAAACAGGAAACTTTTCCAGATGAATTTAAATACCTTTGCCATTGTTCTTTGCTGAGTCCAAGTTCTCATTTAAAATCAAAACTGTGCGGTTTGTCTGTGGATTTCTGTAATATATATGAGAAAAATACAGATAGAAATTGTTGGTGAGATGATAAATGAAACTGAACCAGGAAATATGACAGAGAAAGGAAAAAGATGGTGTAGGGAAAGGCTGCACTTGTGGCAGTAAGCAGTAAGGCTGTATTTTATATTGCTTTTTTTCTCTATCGCTACTATTTTAAAACTTGATTGTAGTTGTGTTATTTTTTGTGTTTTGGATATGGGTGGGGTTTTTTATTAAAAAGTAATGGCATATAATGAAAAGCTGATAAGTTTCATGGTCATCTCAGAACAGCTGTGACAGACAATGGTAGTTTATCTGGAAGATCAGTTGGGTCTTCTGATTACTCTTTATTAGAACAGTGGCAGCTCTTCTAACTTAAGTGGTGGCTAATAAAATTTAACCAAAACAATATTAAAAACTATGAGGAAGATATTGTTTTCTTTCAAGGTCTAGCCTCTTGTAATGCTAAATTTCATTAGCTTTCTTGTTAACAGCAAATGTTTCAGGATTCATAAGATTTGACATTTGTTTAAAAAAAGCAAGTCAAACACTTCTTTGTTCTTATAATGTGAACACTATAGACCTCCTTTAATACATTCATAAGAAACACAAAAGAGTGTGTCCTAAACTGTGTTTTCTTTCCATCAGAAATGCTGTGGTGAGGGATTTCTACACCAACAAATAAACTTTGATTTAGGTTAGTCTGTGCCAGGGCAGTTTTCCCATGGGAGTGGGACAGGGAAAGCTTCAAGAGAAGCATGGGTAATTATATCTGTTCCTGGAGTTTGTTTTGTCACTCAGATTTGTGATGAATCCTAATGTGCTCTTGGATAGTACCAGAAATGCATTAGTGGGTGTTTTTTCAGTCCTTGTTTCCTAGGAATTTGTTGGGGTTTGTTTGTTATGATTTTGTTCAGATAACGTCATCGCTTTCTCTATATCTTTGTCTTATCTGATGATGGGTTATTTTAGTGAACTTTATAGCTTATGGCCATTTTGAAGCTAATACAAAATGTACCAGTTTATTTGGACAAACCTTAATGGAAACAGGCAAGCACTTAAGTTTATCTTAGTTAATATTGCCACCAAGACCCAGAAATTAAGAACAATGTCTGTGCTTGTTGAGGGTCATTTTGCAGAGCACGATTTCACTTCATGAGAACACTATATAGAAGTTTTCATGGGCTTCCAGTTGATGTTGGATGAAACTACTGGGTTTTATTTGGACTTACCAATGCATGTTAGGGGCATCCCTTTTTGTCTGGCACAGTCTCAAATGCAGCTGGCCGAGATACTTGTTCCAAGCCTTTCCTTTATGTGAGAGTATGTTAGTCACAGGATACCTTCAGTGGAGTTTTTCCCATAGTAAAATCAGTGCATCATTTGCATCTGAGAAAGCCCGGTTCATTTCTCTTCACAACAAGGTCTTGGCTGAAGTGGAAAACAATGAAAATATAGGTGGGTTGGTGGGGATGGTGGGACCATTTGGTGAGCTGAGCCAGTGAATTACCATTAATTTCTGCTGTGCAAACACTGCGTGTTGACTGGGAAGAAACCCTTCTTCAGCACATAGGAGTAAATAGACACCTGTGATCAATACACAAGCCTGCATTTTGTTCCCCCAGGTGAAAAAGGGGGACCTTTGTGTAATTTCCTTTGCTGATAGGCTTCTGAGCACTTTGTGCCAGGAGCTGTCTCTATGCAGTAAAAAACCCACTGTTCTGTGTCCTCTCAGCCGCTGGGGACTTGATGTGTTATTGTTACAGTGTCTCTTCAAAGACTACTGCCAGTCATTCATTTTAATATGTAATCTCCAGGAAGCCGTTTGAAGCGGTGTTGCTTAGTTACAGTTGAAATGTGCTCTGCTGTAAGGTTTTTGCTGGTACAATTCTTATCACAGGAATACAGGTCAGGTACCACATTCTGCATTCATTCGTGTAATATAGAGAGAGCGATCCTGAAGTCTTTCGATGCTGAGAGAGTGAAAAGTTCACTAAACATTGAATATGTACTTACATAAGGAGCTATGGATCTTCTGCCTATATATAGCGGAGTAGATTAGTTGCTGAAAATTTGAATCTATACTTAATAAAGGTTAGTATCTGTTATAAAGATGTGAAGAGTAAATTTAGCAAGATTATGCTGTTGTGATGTTAGAGTATTCGCAGACTGCATTTTAGGGATTATTTAATACAGTTAAGAGTTCTTGTTTTGTTAAACCTTTGCAGTGTATCCTCTGTTTTAAAATCTTCCATAATTGTTAGACATAGCTTTAGCAGAGCATCTTATAAGGGGATGCCCTATATAAATGTTCAAGTTGATGTAAATGCTTTTGTGGTATGCATAACCTTGCATGCAAATGTGAGAGCATGATCAAATAGTTAACTGTATTGAGTCATCAGTGCAGGCTTAAAATTGTGCTTATTAGTTAGATAGCCTACTGTGAGCCTTCTCTCTCCCTCTTTCTCTCTGTCTTCCTCTCTCCCCCCTCCTCCCCCCCCAATCTTTCTTTCTTAAAATCAAATCAGGATCTGCTGAAAAACATAGATGGTCACAAAAAGGCATTCCATGAGATCCACGGGGCCAGGTCTGTTAACGGAGTGCCTGTTCCACCTGACCAATTAGAGGATATGGCAGAGAGGTAAGGCTTTCAATCTGAAATAAAAACCCTCTGTGAATGAAAGGGAACCTGTTTGCTTTTTAATCTGTTCATGTAGAAATCACTGTCTAATTATGCTTCTCAGTGGCAAGCATGAAAAAATTGGAAGGAAAAACCTCCTAGAATATACATAAAAATATACCGAAAAGCCTGATGCATTGAAGATTGATGAGAATCAAAATAAGCTATGGGTTTTGGAAGGGAATACTTTTTTACATTGATCCTGTTATTACTTGTCCCTGGAAGAAATGTTATGTAACAACAGCCAGGATGCATGTGAAAAAAGAAAAGAAAAATGACTTGACAAAACTTAGTAAGAGATGTAAACTGACGATTTCTATGAATAAACAGAAATGTAATTGATTTGCTCTTCAAGAGCAGTCATCAGAATGATCATCATGCATAATTAAATGTTTGTAGACTCTGAGTTAGGTGAAAGATTAGAAAAATAGCTGAACTGTAACTGAAGATTTCAGTCTCTCCTGCAAAAATGAATATTGTTGTATTTTACTACAGTGTGATTCATTTTATAGGTTTAATTTTGTTGTCTCCTCATCTGAGCTCCATCTGTTGAAGATGGAGTTTCTGGAACTGAAGTACCGTCTACTGTCACTCTTAGTCCTTGCAGAATCAAAGTTAAAATCATGGATTATCAAATATGGAAGGCGAGAGTCGGTGGAACTACTTCTTCAAAATTATATTGTAAGTTAGGGTTGTCTTTTTCTTTTTATAATTATTTTTGAAATATTTCTATTTAAGATTGCTGGAAATGAATAGAAGAACAGAAACAGAAATGAGACTTGCCAGTCATCAACTTTATGACTGCATTCCTATGGACTATCTTTTCAGAGGTGAATCTGTCCTCCCTATGGAGGAACTTTAGTCAAAAGGCTAAAAATGAAAATTATTCTCTTCACACCGTCTCTTCAAAAACAGAAATAATGTCCCAGCTGCTAACTATCCGGCCATCAACTTACCAAGCACATCTGGAGGTTCCAAATCCTAGATTTTTACTTACCTTAGATAGCAATTCCAAAGAACTTAATTTCATCATCTTTTACAACCGCATAGATGCACTTTATAGTGACTATACACAGATTAATTAAGTGTAGAGTTAGAAGAGGTTTTTGGCATGCAGTCCCCCACAGTACTTTTTTTTAAAGTCCTCCAAATGAAGGGGAAAAAAAAAAAGAAGTTATGCTGCCTCTGTGTACTTGTGTAATATACTATACTGATAGGGGAGTCATTTTATTCTTTTAAAGAACGTTTTTTCTTCTCCTGCTCAGCCTTAGTATATTAAACCCATTACTTTATTTCTGTTCTGGAAAGAAATTGCTCCAGCTCTGCATCATCCATATATTATGTTAAGAAACAGAGGCTGTTGACTTACAAACGCTCATTGATATGTTCCCTTTCAGTCTTATGCTGCTGTATCTTGTTAAATCCACACTTGCAGTGCCAAGTGGCTGGTAGAACGGTACCACTGCTGAACTTCTACGTTAGGGCATGAGGGATTCTTTCAAAAGCAGGGCTGCACTAAATACTTTTTTCCCCTTATAGCTAACCCATACGAGGAAAATTGCACAGGAAAATTCAGTTTGGAAAGAATTCATACAGTTATAGAACCATTCAGAGCCAGGACACTGTGTAGAGAAAGTTATTGATGCCCCCACAGCCTGATAGTTTTTATTGCTTTGGAAGAAAACTTCAAACTCAACAAAGTTCCTCTACAAAGTGAGAATTGAAGACCTGTTCACACTTTTCCCTTTCTATGTTTAAACTTTAGCAGTTAGGGACACATACAAATTCAGGAGCTAAGCCTCGTTTTAGACAAGCTTTGCAAAATTCAGGTGGTTATTTAAAATAACATAGTTTGCTAGAGTAATGTGCAATAGCTAGGAGTTATAGTCCATTTGTATACTCTGTAAGACTGTCGCAAAAGCTACTAAAAGGTGACAAGGGAAATAATGAGGAAGTGGATAGCTTGACTTTTGGATTATTATTTTGTATCACTTTCTTATTTTTTGCTTTAAAATGCACATTAAGTGGTGAATTTGTATATTATTTTGTGATTGCCTCAGTTATTCTTGTGCTTCAGACCACTAATGCTGAGATGGTCGTTAGGGGAAAGAAAATGCTTCTTTGCATCATTTATGAAACTGCGTCACATCAAAATGAGGAAATTGGGACAAGAAGATAAATAGAGCTCAGTTTCGTTCCTGGTGGCCTTGACTTCTGGCTCCTTCCAGGTGTCCAGTGATGGAAAGAGACTTTATTTGCTTTGGCTTACCTGGGAGCAATTTTCTAGGTTTTGACAAGAGCCAAGTGTTACTCTTCCAGTAAATTAGGAGTCTTATGTAGGAAAGCTGTAGTCAGTACCTTATAGTCAGTGACTGTATTAGTAGGAGATAAAAATGTAGGTTTGTTTGTCTGCCAAAGCAGACTGAGCAATGTCAGCATTCTAGGAACATGCGTAGTTAGGATCTGGATAGAACATATGCCTGGAGAATATTTATGTACTGTAGCTGAAAAATAAAAGTGGTGGTTGTTACTTTATCCCATCTTCTTTTCACCTGTCTGTCATATACCAGAAGTAAAGGTCAGCATAAATTGTACACCATCAACCTGAAGAATATACTGTACCAAAGTCTCAGCTGTAACGGAGATATTGTGTACCAAAGTCTCAGCTGTAACGGAGATACTCGGTGCAGTTATCCATGGATTTTAACCCACGGAACTGTGTTTTGGCATTGCTGGATTAGCACTTTTTTAGCACTGTATGCTATAGAGATTTGGGAAAAGCTACATATTTTCTTTAAGGGATCTTGTCAGATGGGAGACAATATTAATCAGTAAAATGTCTATATTTAATTTTTGAAAATATTTCCAATTGCTCTTGAGATCGGTATTATATAGGTAGTTTGTCACAGTTTTTTACTTTCTCATATGAAGTCTTGCAGTTTTTGGTTCAGAGTAAAATGTCTGTGTGTATGGTTATGTCACATAATTCATGGTAAAGCGGGGAGTTCTTTATACATGCCAGATACTTTTTTTAACAATAGAGCACAGAAAAATTCTGATTGTCCTTGACTTCTAGTCTCCTTGGTTATAAACACATTTCTAAATTACATACTAGAGAACTGTGGTGATTTGACGTAGCAACTGTAAAATTTTTTAAAATAGATTTTTAGATATATACTGGCAGGCAGATTAATTTTTAAAACTGTTTTTCATGTTTATATAATGTGGATTGATGAATACACAAAATCTAATTCTCCTCTTCAAAGTACATTGAACTTTGACCTCATTTGAAACCTAGTTTTACCAAAATCACACTCGTACACATAGAATTTTGTCTATTCTGACATTCCAAAGCTTGTGTAGACATATGTGAGATGTACTTGCCTTAATTTTGTAGATCTGTAACTGAGGAGGCATGGGAGGTAGTATAAGTTACAAAACAGTTCCAAAACTCTAGATAAGTACATTAGGTAAAGCAATATAAAAGCCCTGTAAAAAAGCAGATTTTTCTCCCTTTTTTAACAGTGGTAATGCAAGATATAATATGCTTGCATAATATAAAGATATATATTGCACTTAAAGGAAGTAATATTTCTAAAAGACATTTAAAAAAAAGTCAGTGTCATTTGCCATAAGGAATAAAGAGCCATAAATGATAAAGAGCCATAACTCTGTGACCAAAATATTTCCAGACAAATTATTCATTGAGCTATAACACATTACACGGCTAAAACATCACTGACAATGGAAAAGCGCTGTGTCACACTTTGGAAAAGCAGCATCTCTTTGTGCAGTGTTCCTTTAATCTTACTTTTACCAATTGCAAAGGAGGTAAAGGAAAACTGAAGGATAAGTCAAATGTTTTTCATCTCTTAAAGTGAAACCTGCCTTTCTGCAAAGGCTTATTACAGGAACAATTTTTAAAGTTTAACTGGATTTGATTTTTGTGGTTACATATATGGACGAAATTTTCTCTTTTACTAAAATGATTCCACTTAGATTTCAGTGTAAAACAGTTTCCGTTAAATAACTTTTCAGTTAATTGCTCAGTTCCTGCACATTCAAAGTATCATATGCTAGTGAGTTTCAGCAAGTCAGCAACTAGCAGACTAAGAACACATTAAATAATCTTTCCATACGCAAAGTAAATAAACTGCATTTGTAAAGGGAGACTCTGCTGTACCATTAATTTGAGAAGGTGAAATTTACATATTATTTTATAATGATGATAATTTAAAAATTGTTTTATAATGATGAAAAAATGAATGGAGGAATAATGAAGTTAAAAGTTGTCATCACTGTTCTGATGTAACTTTATGGAAATTATCCTTATTCTTAATATCTGTCTTTATTTTGTCGTAATTTTTTTTTTCTTTTCAGTCTGTTATTGAAAACAGTAAGTTCTTTGAGCAGTATGAAGTTACTTACCAGATCTTGAAAAGAGCAGCTGAAATGTATGCCAAAGCAAATGGCTCAGGTAAACGCCTGTGTTTCTTTCATCATAGGGACATCATTTTAATCTCTTTAGACATAAGTATCCTCTAAAAAGATCTCCTAATATTTGTTTCTTCCATCCAGCAGAGCTGTACAGCAGCTCCAGTTCACCAGAGAGGCTACAGCCTCTAGTAGCAATTTCACATATTCTCTGGCATGAAGCCAGCTGGTACAAAGCAGCCTGCCCTCCTGCTGTTAAGATTTCTTAATCTCCAGAAGAGGGTAGTCATGTTCAGATTTCCTAATGGGAGAAGTCCATGGTCCATGCTAACTTCTGGATTGTTTCAGTGTTGTTGATTTGGGCCAAAAATGTGCCAGACACCAAATTAGGAGTAGGGAAGATCATGTTCTGGTGCCTGGAAATGCTCCCTGGCTTGGTTTCATTTACTAGAAAAAGACAAATAGAGAGCTGGTCCCAGTATCGGTATAGTAGCAAAAATGTCCCCTAATTAAGATTCTTCAGTAACTGTGAAAACCTATAAGAGAAACCCAAATGATAGCTGAAGTATGGATATACATGAGAAACTTGTGTAGCTCATTGAACAGCTGCCTCCTGTAATCCCTGAACACTGGTGAGTTCAGTGAGAATGCATGAGGGCAGTATTTGACCTAGATAGTTACAGAGATGAGATCACTTTAATCTCTGCTGAGGAGATAACACCATAATGTCGGTGGAGGATTGCTGCAGCTGCTAAAGTGGTTAGCAGATGTGGAGAGAAAATGGATATCTCTTTTTGTTGTGAAATGTAATTTGATGATGGTGACACTCAAATTTTACAAAAGTAAACATTTTTACAAGGTATTCTTATAAAGAATAAAATTAATAGATTTATTTAACACTATTAAAAAATTCCAATAACAAATTTTTTTTCTAAAGGGCAGCTACGCACTTATATGAATTCAGAAACAGCAGTGCAAATTAGAGGACACCTTAGCTAAAAATCGTTTTTTAAATTATCTATATTCTGCTTGTTTTATGAAGTCTCAGGATTTGTTTGGGTCCTTTTCTTCTCTCTGTTTTTTTCTTCTGGAATGAGGACACGCTTGTTCCTTTATTGCCATGAGGAAAATACTAAAAATTAAATGGCAAAAATTAGCAGCAGCTTGGGTTTAAAGTCGGTGGAAGGAAGATCAGAATTTCATTCAGTACTTTTCAATGCAGACATAATATGTGTTTGTACATTATACACCTCTATTATTTTCTGCTTTTTTTAAGGAAACTTTCTCTCTTGATTTCTTTTATTAAAGATTAGAAATAAACATCACATTGAATATGCAGTGTGACCGTTTTAATATAGCACTCATTTTATGTACTTTCCTTAGTCTTTAATTCACAGGTTTAATTTCTCAGTTGTAATTTTGCACTAAAATCGGGCTGTGAACTGAGCATATGTATATAAAAGCCTGCTGAAATAGAAGTTGCAGTAAAATATAATTCCCTGATGAGAATGGATAAACATAACATAAAATTAAGCTTTACAGAAATAATAATGAAGCAAAATAACCAATGTCTTTCCCGTATCTCAGTGGAAGAAGTTGAGAATGTGATGAAATTCATGAATGAAACAACGGCACAGTGGAGGAACCTCTCGGTAGAGGTGAGAAGTGTAAGAAGCATGTTGGAAGAAGTAATTGCTAACTGGGACAGATATAGCAGCACTGTGGCAGGTTTGCAAGCATGGCTGGAAGATGCTGAAAAAATGCTGAATCAGCCTGAACATTCTAAAAAGGTATGCACTAATAGTATCTGGCTATTTTGTAAATTATGAAACGTGGGATATGTTTTTGCATTTGCTTAGGTCGTTTTATAAAGTGTCATACAAGAGGGAGAGATTTTTTCAGTTTCTGGCATACTGTCTACATTCATCATAGGTGTTTCAATGTTTGCATGTATAGCATGCACAGACATATACATACACGCAATGAAGGAAGGCATCATCTGTGATAACATGGTTAGAGGCATCTTTGACATGAATATAGGGCAGCAGTATTGCTCAGAGATAGGAATGTTAAGTGATTCACTCAAAGGCAAATACAGCTCAACACCAAAATTCATCAACAGGTGCTGCGTATAAACAGACTTAAAGAAAATTATTTTTTCCACTGATTTTTCTACCATAAAGATGACAGATTTCAATATTAGTTGCCTTCACAAGACAACATTATTAATATGTGTTGTTATGTTTGATGGGTAAGTAATTAATCCATTTCCATGGCATTTTAGAAAACTTTTAGACAGCTCCTTTTGGGGACCTGCAGTCATAAAGATAGTTTTGCTGTCTTTTTTTTCTGTTCTAATATTAGAATACTGAAGCACTAAGATTTATGTTTGTGAAACTTCAATAATGACCCAAATTGACTTGAATAATGCTGCATTTAATAGGTGCTACATTTTCACCCAGTCCCAGTGTAGCAGCTATACAGCTCTTAACACCAAAGTATGGTTTTCATAGGTTGTAAGATGTCAAACTGACATCAGGTCAGGAATTAGCATTTCATGTTACATGACAGAACAGTATAATTTTTGGTAAAAGTTTGTTAATTTAAATTGATGTACAAGAATGGAATACACTTTTTAAATAAACCTGTGAAAAGTATTCAATAGTCTGGCACAATATAAATACCAACAGTTATTATTACTGAGCAGGAAGGATGACCTCAGCTGATCAGGTTGATCTTAGCTCCTTGTGTATGTTTTATGTAAGTAACTTGGCAGTGTTTAACATGAAATATTCTTATATCCATATATATGAATAAAATAAAAATATTTACTTCTCTGATCCGTTTTCTAACTTTATTTTTAAAGATTTTCAAAGTAGAAATCTGAACATATCCATACAGTATACAATTGCTTCTGATTTCTAACCTAATTCCAACAAGTACTTCTTACCGTTCTGATATATGAAAAGTTTCAAAAAGTCTTGTTGAAAACCTTAGACATGAAAGCATTATTCTTCCCAAAATGCTAATTTCTTCTTAAAATTACATTGGCTCGGAACTGTTAAAGATTACTGAGAGGTAACATAATCCTCCTGTAGACTGAGATACATAATTTAACAATTACTTCTACTGTTAATGTTGAATCTAGCACTCCACAACAATACTCTTCACTTAGATAGTTCCAAGGATAGTTCTGATTTAGCAGTTTTAATATTTGGTTATTAAAACCAAAAGCAATACTTATATTGCTTTGTACAATTAATAGTCATACAGCCATCAGCACAAGCATCTGGAATCCCAGGTGAAAGATGATAGCTATTGCTTGGAATATGGTGTAAAACCTTTTTAAACATTTCCAAATATTTGTTCTGTAAAACCACAAATATATCAGTAATATGATACAAAGATTTCATTGATGGTCATTTGCAAACCTTACCTGCATTACTAAAACCCGCCATATTCTATCCTATTCAAAGACCATAGTAGCCCCTTACCATGCTGTCATGCTTTCTTCTTCTTTCCATTTTCTCCGTATGATTTCAAGACCAGCAAGTACCACTGTTCTTTTTGCAAAAGAAAGTGGCTTGTTGGCTTTCTCATTGGCTTCTGTTTTCAGAAACCTTATTGTGAACCTGTAGCACAGAAGATTTGCAAAACAGATCAGATTTTTCTACCGCAAAGTACTAGAAATTTAACAGTAAACATATTAATGAACAAACCGCTCCTTCTACAACTCCTTTATTTACTTGCAGTGCCTCTTAAACACTTCCCGTCATAACCCCACCTTCTACAACTCCTTTATTTACTTGCAGTACCTCTTAAGCACTTCCCATCATAACCCCGTTGTTACTGTGCTCTCCCACACCTTTCTCCAACAGCCATATCCAAAGGGTACCAGAGGGCTTCTAGATCTCATGTGGGGACTTCCTTAAAAAGAGCTGCACTGTTTTAATTGAGAACAAGGTGTGCTTCACAGTACCTTCCAAACTTGTCCAAATTTTACACGTGCTTTAGGCTGGCTTCTGAAATGGAGAGACTCCCCAGCAGGGTCTGAGGAAGGTAATGGTTTGTGGGAATAAGTGTGCGGGAGCAAGGACATGAGTAGTTTACTCCATGTGCTTTTTCCCTCTTGACCTCTAGTAAGCCTGACCGTTGGAGAACTGACCAGTGCCAGCTTCAGTAGGCTTAATTTCTTTTGGATGTGCTCACAGAGGGTAGCATTTGCACAAAGCAAGGGTTGTGCTCCACTGTGAGTAGAAGAAGATTCAAACTGCACATACAATTAACTGAGATGATTAAGTTTATTCACTGATACATCAGTACAGAGCACCTTGTACTCTATGGATCTCAGCTTTAGGAATTTAAAACACTATATGTTGTTCAGTTCTCTCTTCAACAAATTTGAGCAGTATACATCCGTTTGACGTTTTCGGTTGTATCAGAACTGTTTTTACATGTGGATGAGTTCTGACAAGTATAAAGTTTCAGAACTGTAGCTCTGAAACTTGGGATGACTGACAGTACAGTTGGACAGGACTTTTTCACATCTACCCCTGACCAAAGGATTGCATGGGACTGTCACTGTCAGATGAACAGTCTTGGAATTACAGGGTAGATCAATAGTCATAAATAAAATGGGTCAGTGCCCCTTAGTCCTGAGGACCAAGTGGCATGGTTCAGCTTGCATCCTTGAGGTTACTCTTTCTCCCCTGAAAGAAAGTGACCTCATGATTCAGTCTATTGGGAACAGTCCTTGCCATGTGCCATCCATGGAATTTTGCGTTGTTTGGGAGCAGGGTAGCAGGGACAAGCCAAAACCATATCAGGGAAGGTGTGGACAATCATGGGACAATGATTGAGGCCTGTTTTGTTTACTGGTATAGCTGCAGTCATAGTGCCTAGAGATACCTGCCTTAGGAACAATTGCCCATCCTCTTGAAGAGCAAAAAGAAGGGAGGGAGCTGGTCGTTGTCTTCTCTACCAATTTATGTGTGTGTACCTGCCTACAAGATGCACAGAAGCATTTGGCACTATGGCTGGACTATATAGACTGTCTCACTGGAACAGAGGAAAAAAATCAGTGGCAACCATCTCTTTCCCCTCCCCACTCACCTGCTCCGAGATAGGAGGAAGCAGTGATAAAGAATCAGTCTTCTCAGGTCTTCTGGGATGCCAGACCCTGGAAAGCTGCATATGCTTCACAGTCGGGGAAGAGTCTTTCTACAGTCTGTATATGGCCCAGGTTACTATGAGCCCATACTGTTTCAAGACAAGACAGAAATTAGATAAGCCCTAACAGTGTTTTCAGTTAAACTTTCTCTGTAGGAGGAACTCCATTAGTTTAACTGAAGCTACTCACTGGAGTAAAATGAGCTATAAGTAAACTGATGGTAATTTTTAATTCCATAGTTTATGTTCCCAGACATTAAAATTCTATTATGGCATATCTGATATGAAGAGCTTCAGAGTTCAAAGAGTTTTATCAAGCCATTAGCTGGTGATTAAATTTTAGTTTCATGACTTAAGATAAAGACTAATTGAAAAGGTTTCAGAAAGGTATTTTCATTTTCTTCTTCAGGATTTCTTCCGGCACTTACCTCATTGGATCCAACAGCACACAGCCATGAATGATGCTGGTAATTTTCTGATTGAAACATGTGATGAGACCATTTCCAGAGACCTTAAACAGCAGCTTCTGTTACTAAATGGAAGATGGAGAGAATTGTTTATGCAAGTTAAGCAGGTATGTGTTTTCGCTGCTGTTACTTTTAAATATTTACTTTGTCATCTCCATGCAAGCAAGACAGATTTGCCCCACTAGCAGGACTATAGGACAACTTACTGAAGTGCGTAACTGCTCATCATTATTTAAATTAGAAATGAATCCCTGACAGCAGCTTATTTTATTGGGGCTTTTCCTTTGTTTATCTTTTTGCTTACACAGCTTTTTATTTTTATTTGTGGACATTTTCAGCTGGTATAAGCTGTAGTTTTTCTTTACGGTCTCCGGTCTTGATACAGTGAATATTATTTATGCATATCCTCTACTGTTCTTCGAAGAAAATGATTAGTTTTAAGTAGCTATTTTTATTGTAAAAGCTCTGTAAAACTAAACAGTGAAAATGGTGAAAGTGAATATTTTTACTACTCTTTAATCAAAGTTGCATTCAACTATTGTAATGCAACCGTAAGCAGGTACAATACAAGTTAATTAACTAAATGTTTTCCCCAAATCGGTCAGACATTACTTCTATCTTGTGCCCAAGGAGGCACTGATAGTAAATGAAAAAACTACCCTCTATCTCATGGAAGAGATTCAACTGATTGGAAAAGTATTGTTGTTTCTATATTTGCTCTTTCAAAAGCAAAGAGAAGATGTGACCTAAATTAGACAGAAGTATTTCACACCTCATAAACACATTAGAAATTATCTTTGCTATAGTCAATATACATCGAATGATATTTTCCCCTTCCAGTGATTTTAAATAGCAGTTGCCTATTTGAAGATGCTGAACCTATTTTCTTTACTGGCCTGATCATTTCCATTGCAGTCAGGTTAAATGGAAAAGCAAATAATGGTTGCCCCTTTTTTATTGTAACTTTTCCAAACTGTTGACTAGAATGTTTTCAAGCTTTATTTGCTGATGATATTTAGGGTGATTCACTATGGAAACAGTAATGTCCAGGATGTAAATGTCTCTTCCCCTACTTAGGCAGCTTCTTTCACGTGCTGGCTATATGGTTTTTCTCACTGGCTTTTCACCATTTCTGTCATACAGCTCTTTCCACTTTCTAAGACCTGTGTTTCCTCTTCCTCCAGCCAGCAGTTCTTTTATTGAAATTTCCCTTATCCTTCAGCTTTTCTAGGCTTTTCGTGTTCTATTGTCTTTGCTGAATTTTCAAAATTGATACTGTAGGTAATGAGAAATGAATTCAGATGTTGATTCTAGGTTAGAAACAAATGAGAGTCTGGCATTCTCCAAATGATCCAAACCTTAAAAAAGACTGACCTTTTGTATTAATGTTGTGGGGTTTAGTATCAGCACTATTGAAACTAATGTAGATTAGTGTCTAAATAATTTAGAAGATTAGTTTCCATTATTTTGTATTTTGTTGAATACAATTTTTCCAGCAAACAATTGCACTGAAAACGTGCTCATTCTCTTAAGTGATTACTTAATTGCCAGATATCTCATTTGGGGTGGTTATTTTTTTGTCTGTTTCTTTTTACTTTACATTTTCTTAGTATGCTCGAGCAGACGAACTGGACAAAATGAGGAAGGAATACTTAGATGGTGTTGCCCATTTGACAGCTTTTATTGATGGAAGCAATAGGAAATTTTCAGTCCCTGTAGAAGTGTCCTTCCTTGATGTCAAAATGTTTGTACAAGATTTAGAAGTAAGTGTCTTCCGTCTATTCCTTTCTTTCTCCTTCATAAGAGAGAAATTTGTAACTTTAAATCCTAGAGTATAAAATTATTTCAGTATACATTTCCATTGTTACTATTTTTTTTTACCAGTGGTGGTTTTTTGTATAATTTATGCTATTGCTAATATAAGTCATTGTGTTCTATGAGTGACATTTCTAGAGCACATTTCCAAAACACTGTCCGACTGGATATTTCTTTCTGTGTAGTTTCAAATCACATTCAGGTAAGCTGACTGATAGCCTTTGGCACAGTTTTCATGCATTTGAAATACGATCCAGTATTTACTAAAATCAGCAATGGAAACAATTGATAATTGGAATGTATATCTCTCATCTCTTGAGAACAGACTTGTATCTCCCATGAATACATAAATACTGTTGTTGAAATATTTTTTGAAACATTGTTTCAGAATATTAAGGAGAAATTGCCTGCGATGGAAGCTCAGTACAAAATGGTTACAAGAACAGCACAACTTGTTACAAAAGAAGTTTCCCAAGAGGAAGTGAATGAAATGCTTGGAACTTTGACAAGGATCAAAGAGCAGCTGAGCAAGGTTGCAGAATACTTTTTTGACTACGCATGTTGTTGACTGTTGAACTAACAAATAGTAAGCTCTCCTACATAAATGCTCAGATATATGCATTTGAGCAAACATATAGTAAAAATAGATTGATTCAGGGTGGAGAAAATGTTACTTCTTTTAGACTTTAAGACTACCGTCCTTAAATTTAATATTCTTTTCTTTAAGAAGTAATACAGGATCAGGATTGATCTATCTTAAAAGAGGCAGGTAGCAACTATATAAACCCACATGCAGAGGAAGCTGCTATTTATTGACTTTTACAACTTTTTTAATAATTACTTTTCTTTAAAATGGCCAAAGGTTAAGGAGTATTCCTGTGCCCTGCTGTATGAATGCCAGCATCTGCTGTCTCCACTGGAAGAACTGGAGAAACAAATCACACACTTTTATGAATCTCTTGAAAAAGTCAATGAAATAATTTCTATCCTGGATCCTGAAGCACAACCTACAACTGTTCTTAAACAAAAAGCCCAAGTAAGTTTCGGAAACATCTTACAAAGATCTGCTGCCTCTCAATATTTACAATTAGCTTTCTAGGAATTTGGATTGCAACTTGGTAAGCTGAGCAAATGTTTCTTCATATTCAGGCAACAAACGTAGCCTATCCTAAAGTCAGCTAGGCATAAACATACAAAGATCGAAACGTGTTCCCTCCTAGTGCCCGTGGTTTCAACCCAAGAAGTAAATATAAGATTTATTTTTTTTTTAAATCTAGTGGAAATTGGACTGAAGTATCAGAAATACATTGCATTTTTTATTAAGCAGATGAAATAACATGATCAGGAACATCCCTAGGTTTTCTTGGACAGTTATGGAAGTTTCTTACAAGTCTGGAAGTGGTTTCTTTGAAGTGCATTGTAGTGGAACGTTAACTTTTCTACCTGACCAATAAACATTTAATTCTGGAGGAATTCAGAGCTAGCCAGAACTCACTTGGAAGGGTATATGAAAATATAAGGATCTTGCTTAGGAATAGGCATTTCACCTTGTGTATGTATGGTATATATCCTAGAAATAGTCCCTCAAAATTGATGTACACATTTCATTAGAGTCAGATTTGACAGGTAATATAATTAAATAGATTTTTTATGTAAAGCTGAAGTCTTTCAAAGACATTTAGAGTCCCTTAAAAAAAAAAATTTTAACAAAGAGATTTAATTTTGTGTGTGTGTGTGTGTATATATATATACACAAAAAATAGTTCAAGCCTATAATGGCTCTGGAGATTGGCCCAATAATTCAACAAGAAGGGTCTTCTCTTCCAGTGACTTCAAGCTTTGACTGTATTTCAACAAAAAATGATCTGCTGAGCTTGAATCAAGCCAGTCCATTTATCTTCCCAAGTATATCCTCTTCTGTTTATGAACACCAGCTGAGTCATGTGTCCAACCTGCAGGTTAAGGAGCAGCTCATAAAAGCGCTCCTTTCCTCTGCTTCTGAAGGTTAACCTGCCCCAGAATGTCACAAAAAAAAGACATGTTTCTTCTCCAGTTATTTGCCAGCCAAGGAACCAAAATCTCCTCAGTTATATGGAGGGTGCTGGTTTCTGCTGATCAGAGAGTAAACAGGGATTTGTGCTGAGGAATACAGTGTTCCTTCAATAGCAGAACAGTTTCCTCACCACAGGTTTTTTTAAAACGTTTTTTCGGCCTGTGCAATTTCATACATGTTTTCTTTTCTTCTCTCTCTCTCTTTTTTTTTTTTAAATATAATTCCCATTACTTAATGCCATTTGTAATGAAATCTGAATTCCAATAGCTGACATGAAAGGTTAATTTGTTGAAAGGCAAGAAAGGTGAACATCGCAACCTGCTACTGAGAGTTGTCATTCTTATGTCTATTGTTTTCACTGCTGCCTACTTACAATTATACAATAAATATAGACATCCCATAAAATTAAATCACAGACTAATGTATTGACCTGCACTCTCTAAAACTACCCGAAAGACTTGGGTACATGTCTGTGTCTTTTTTTATAGATAGCTAGAGTTCTATTTGGGTACAGGACTCTGCATACAAGGAGAAAGTTGTGTGGTCTGTGTTATTCCATATAACATTTTTGTAGTCTGTTTGTCGTGGTGCTTTGACCTCATCCCTTTTGTTCTTATTGTCAAAAAATACCTTCCTGTTATTTTGCCAAACTTTTCTCTCCTTTGTTCCTGGCCAGGGTGGATATATGTTTTTTTCTTTCAGGATTTGGTAGCTTATCAAGAAAACTGCAAGAAAGATTTGTCCCTGATTGAGAGAAATAGTCAGAGTATCCTGCAGTGTGTGGCTTCGAGTGAAGTGTTACAGCATTTCCATCAGTCAACATTTCAGAAGAAAGCTACACAAGTTCAGATTACTTTTCAGGTAATTATGTCATACCTTGGTGCATATTTTTGAAAGCTTGTTCATATGCAGCTGATCCATCCTACCGTATTTCCATTTCATCACTCTGTAGCTACTGTCAGAGAGCTCTCCTCTCTGGTGTCAAGTTATTAATAAGTATTTGTCTGTATTAGATAGTAATAATTCAGAGGCGAGCCTGCCTCAGAGTAACACGGGATTTAAGGAGAACTTTCACAAGTCTCAGGCTCCTTTGGAATGAGGAGCCTGAAATCTGCCTGTTAGGGCTCCACTGTTTGTTTTTTTTTCTTCTGACTTTGTTATCTTGGCTAATTATTTGCCTCTATATTCCCATACGTCCCCTTTCAGGCAAAGCATGGAAGATGGAAATTTTGCAAACGCTACTATTGCTGGGCTTTGTATTTCCTCAGAAAATGCAGTGGATTTTGAAAATAGAAAGTTGCAAATATGTATTTGTATTTGTTAATGTAAAGATATGCTATAATCCCCCTTACCTGTAGAGCTCTATGTTGTTATTAGCCATATTCATATTTTCGGGGCTATTCAGCCCCAGTCTAGCCCCACTCTAGCATGAAATTTACCATTGTCTTGGAGTCAGATCTCCAGATATTGTGTTCTATTAGATTTGTTTTCAGGCAAATACTGTTCGGTATAAAGCTACCTAAACTGAATTTTAAGCTACAGAAAATCACCTATCAGTAAAGAGCTGTCTCTGAGAAATGGATTTCAAAATTTATATTGTATTTTGTGGGTAGTACTTAAAGATCAGTGGGTTTTGATTTACAATCTAGAAATCATTATTTAAGTTCAGTTTATAGAAACAGAAGCAGATACAGTTGTAACTTGGTACATTTATCATGTCGAACATTAATTATTGTGTTTCTATAAAGATGGATGGTGAGTTATCTCTTTGTGTTAGAAAATAAACCTGTAAAACATGGCATAACCATACAAAATGGCATACCCAGGGTTAAAGTATTTATGGATCCGGAAACTGGCATTTTCTCATGTAAAGAATACATTACTGTATGATTCTACTGTTATACACAAATTTTTATCAGGAAACTTTAAAAAGGCTTAGCAAGATGTTTAAGTTGAGAACTACAGATTTTATTAGCTCACTGGGTAAAATCATTACAATTCCTTACACTGGGGTTTGTAATCAGTAAGTATGGTCAGTTGTATGTAATCAGTGTATGGTTAGTAAGCAGTGTTGGAATTACCTTGCTGCAGTTGAACTGGTGAACGGTTCATTTCTCCTGGTAAATTTTGTTACTTCCTTATGGAATTGTAACCACTGAATAATGCAGTGCACTGGGACAGACTACAAAGCAGAATGATGAAGAGCTGTGACTAAGGTTTCAAAACAAGAGGATTTCAGAGTAGCAACTAAACCACAAAATTTGCTGTCTTTCTTTTAAGCGGCCTTCTACCTGGTTGCTTATCTGGCCTACTAGTTTGATAATCCTACAAACCTCCCTCAGGTCAGAAGACCTGTAGCATGGAACTGGTTGGATCCATAGATCAAACCACCTTCATGTAGAGTCATGTAGGAGGAGGTAGGAAAAATGGAATGGCAAGCTTTTAGCCATACCAGGTGCTGTACATTTGAACGCAGGCTTTAGGAAAGAGACGCTAGCCAAATGGCAGAGGTATTCTGAAGGTATCAGAGACGTCTATACAATGATAGCTACCCATTTTATTTGAATGAAGGATGACATTAGCACAAGCCTTAGTTTAAGTATTAAAAATTGGGAAAATGGGAGGATGAAAGGGAGAAGCACTTGTGAACGGCATATATTTGAAAGAGTGACACCAATCAAACGCATTCTTTGTAAGATCATATTAAAAGAGAGCAAATAAAAATCAGTGAGAAAGTGCCAGCTCATTTTCTTTTCTTGTAACTCAGAATATGGTCAGGAAAGCTGGTGACTGGAGAAAAAACATAGAAGCAAATAGCCGTTTGATGAAGAAATTTGAGGAGTCTCGAGCAGAACTGGAGAAAGTAATACAGATTGCCAATTGTTGCTTAAAAGAAAAAGGAAATCCTGAAGAACTTCTCAGGAAACATAGTGTGAGTAAATTCTTTGACCTTCCTCATGCAAATCTTTGAGTGCATGACATACAAGTGAAAAGCCTACTTAATTTTAAAATTGTTGTGGATTTCTTTCACGTATAGAAGTTATACAGATCAGGTCAAACTAATGTTAAGATTGAAAAACAAAAAGGAAAAAAGGTCACCCGTCTTATTGATTTATGTAAGCAACCAGAAGGTGAAGAGAGAAGACCCCCTAGAAATTAGGGTCGGTTTTGCCATTAGAACCATTGGGAGTGAGGACGCTACATTTTGCCAGTCTCACGCATCCGCTGCTTTTTTTTTTCAGGTTAATATCTCTGTCTGTATTATAACCATTACTTATGCATGTAGCTTTAAACTGTATTCTTGTTAAAATACCATCTCAGTGTACTGGCTGAGAATAAATTAATTTGCTGGACTTTAAATAGCTAGAAATAGTTCTTTCCTTAGCTCAAACATCGATTCTTCAATGCAGCAGAAGTAACCTTGAAACTTACAGAGTGTGTTAGGGAACTTCATGTTGGCAGGTTACCATATCAGTAACCAGCTTCATCTTCTCACCTTCTCACTTTCCTCCTCAACTTCAGGAATTCTTTAACCAGTTGGATCAGAGAGTCCTAAATGCCTTTCTGAAAGCATGCGATGAACTTACTGACATCCTCCCAGAACAAGAGCAACACAACCTGCAGGAAGCTGTGAGAAAACTCCACAGGCAGTGGAAGGTTAGTGACATCGAATGATATCTCTGGAAATTGTAAGTCTTAACTTCAGGATGTTTCTGCATGACCTATATGTTGAAAAAATTTAAAATAAAATAAAATAAAAGTTGTATTATTTGGCTTCCTGTACAATTGGAGGGAAAAAAATGTATTTTACATTACATACAATTACAACTACAAATACCCTCTTGAAAAAGCCCTGTTAAGTAAAGTGGTCAAAAGTCAAGAAATGTGAGAAATTAACTATGAAACCTTAATTTCTCCCCCTACATACAGCCATAATGATACCTGTGTTAAGAACATTTGTTGAGAACAGGTGCTAGCTTTTCTTGCTTTACGCTGATGTTGGATGATTGCAGTTACTTTCCCAACCTTAATAAAAGAAATTTGTAAGAGATCAGGCTATCAGTTTAAATTGTGTCTTCTGCCAAAGGCTCTAACAACTGAACAAACATTGCTCATAAGCTATGGAATTTGTTGCCTGCTACAGCATGTTGCAGGTCAAAGCTGAAGTGATGGATGAGTGGTTTCTCAGTAGCACGCAAACAGGAACCTCTGGAAGCAGTTGTGAATGTAGTTTCACTATTATTATTTGCTTTATTAGTTTATACAGGAAATACTTGGTATATCTTGCCAAGAATCAAGATGTCTCTGTAATGTGCCTTATACATACATATTCTGGTCCCCAAAAATTTATGACATCATGATATATCTAAGAGATATTTGTAGCAGAGTTGCTTTATTTACTTAAATGAATACTGAGAAACCCCCATCTGTTCATGCTTTATTTTCTATATTAGCAGTCTTTAGATCATTTGTTTGTAATAACTTCACACTGAGGTAACGGGAGTAGTGTTTTATCTCTGTGCTTGTTTATTGCCCCTGTGGGTGTGTAGGATCTTCAAACAGAAGCCCCATATCATTTGATCCACTTGAAGATTGAAGTACAGAAAAGCAAGTTCCTGGTCACAGTGGAGGAGTGCAAAGCTGAACTAGCTCGACAGAACAAAGTGTTATCAAGAGAAGGCAATGAAAGGATGATCGAGGAACACATGGTATGAATTATATGCCACCACGTGGGCATTTACAGAAATACCTTTCAATGTCAATAATAAACAGAAAGTCTGACCCACTCTTAAGCCACCGAACACTGTGCACAACTAAATCACATCAGTCCTTGGGGTCTTTAACAAAAATTTAATTTGAGCTTAGTACGGTTTATAACAAGTATATAGATATGCTTTGTGATTTCTGCCAATTTGTATTTTGAGGAATTGCCAATTTATATATTGAGGAATTGGTTAGATGGTCACATCCAGAGGGTAGTGGTCAACAGCTCAATGTCCAGATGGAGGTTGGTGACGAGTGGCATCCCACAGGGGTCCGTATTGGGACCGGTACTGTTTAATATCTTCATCAATGACATAG